CCCATTTTGGGACTTTTTCAAAAATATTAAATATGTTCAAAAGAAAACATAAAACTTATCCGGCCAAAAATTTCAAAAAAAGAAATTTGGCAGTTAATACCTTCTTCTTTTCTGTTCTGTTCTTTTCTTTTCTTTAACAAAGTAACAATATCGTTATAATATTATATGTATTTTTATTCCAACTTGTACGGATACGAACACTCTTGTGACACCAATTTTGTTATAATGTCCTTAAAATCACATTTTTGTTATACTGACATATGTTTTTTATAATAAAATTTACATGAGTTAGAAAGCTTAGATATTCCAACATATATGTTCTCTCATCGGAATAATGTAACTTGCATTTTTAAGAAATAATAATTATTCAAGTGTAAAATTGGAGGAGTACGAATGCTCTTGAGACTCACTGTAGACAAAAGGTGTATGCCTGATATCAGTTATAAAAAAAAGTATAATCCGTAATATTAATTACCATCCCTGCTTATATTACTTCAATCACGCATGGATTTTTCAATTTCTGTAATTCCCCGATATAAAGAATTATTACTTCCAATATATTTCAAATCATAAAAATAAGACTTTTGGTATTTTCGTTGATTAGCTTCCTTCGTACTACACGTTTATAATATAAAATGGTATTTATATACGAAATATTTCTTAATACTTCAAAAAGTAATGAAATAATATTGATGATATTGATAATATTGATATTCCATTAATTCTTCGCGTTCAAATAATTTATCGCTTAAAAATTGAAGAACACACTTAAAGCTAAACTTAAGAATTCTTAATTTTCGTTGCAATCCTTTGCCAAATTGGACTTGCCATTCTGTATCATTCGAGTCTTCCTAATTTTCATGCATAAAACATATCACTTTGTGTTTTAATTTCATTTGACAAAAGTATATATCATGGATACGTTATTGATTAGAAAAATACGAAAATAGAATCATTTTTTATAGTGTTTCCGAGTAAGTACTTGACTATGAAATAATTGAAATGAAGTAGGGAATGCGACTTAATCAGTAGGAGATTATTGTTTATGTATAGTAACGCGAAATTTTAATTTAACTTATCTTAAGATTTTGGTTTTTTTCTTAACAGTAAGATAAAAATTATAAGATAAATGTAATTGTCATACGTCTTGTACTTATGAACCTAACCTAACTCTTTTCGAATACACTCTATGGATAATTTTGGTTTAAAATGTTTAAAAAATGGTTTATGACAGAGGGTAGGTTACTTTAATTTCGGTGAAGGGAAATTTATTTTGAAATAATTAATTGTATTCGTTGATACGAGATTTTAGTTGGTAGCTTAATACCTTGACTGCCACGTTGGTCATATATGACCGGCCATGGTTTCTCCTGTGACGCCACGGTGGTCATTGGTGACCTTAGCACTACTTAAACTACATTGAACAACATTGAATGAAAATTGGCAGTTAGTGCATTTTAAATATAACCACTAATTAGAAGATACTGTAGAGACTTGGGTGGTGGTTAAATAATACTAACTACAGGTAGCCCTCCTACAACACGGCCTCCTATAACACGGTTTCACTATAACACGATTCATAAATTGTGGGAACCCTCCTACAACACGGCATCCTATAACACGGTTTCGCTCTAACACAATAAGAAAATTGTAAAAACCTTTGGACAACACTGTACTTCTACATGAGCAGTGACGACGAAGAAATTTATTAAATTAAAATTGTGTTAAATTAAAATAATATATTTGCCTTTTTTTTGCTTTGTGTTGTACATACATTTATATTTTTAATAAAAATTAAGTTGTTTATGTAGAAACCTTTTTTTTGCTTTGTGTTGTACATACATTTATGTTTTTAATAAAAATTAAGTTGTTTATGTAGAATTAAAAAAAAATTTGTTTTTAGTAAATTTTCGGAACGTAACCTCACTTTTTGTACTGTGTCTGGATTTCACACAACACGACATTTTCTGGGAACCGATCTACGGTGTTATAGGAGGGTTACCTGTATTTATTAGTAATAAAATAATAATACAATAAGTGGTGACGATTAAGCCTACGAATATAGATATATCAACTACAACTACAACTACAACTTAACAACACAATTACAACTCGACTGTTTCAACTAAAATACAACTCTCTTCCAATCACTCTTCCCAAGAACTCTTCCTAAAAACTCTACACAAGAACTGTTCGCTAACAACTTTCGCCTTCCTTTATATCTTCCCCAAAAACCTCCCCCAACATAACCAAATATGGTTATGCTAAGGGCATGACGCATCGCCGGGGGTTTCCCGACCGACTTGGCCCTCGAACCCTCGGCGATCTTCCAAGCTAAAATCACCTATACACGAGGTGGAAATCCTGTGATACTACAATACTTTGAAATAAAAAGGGCCCCATTGAACAATTACAGATTTTTATTAGAACATCAAAAACATATTAGAACAAATCTTGCATCTAGCGAAACATGTGATTTCGACGTGGCAGTCAAAGGATTAAACATATTTCTGTGGTTGTAAAGGGAAACGTCGTGTGTCACATTTGAGATTATGAAAGTTCACTTGCCAATTGGCAAAATAAACGAAATAAGTTACATTTATCAGACAAAGTGAATAATCTTATATCTTTAAAATCTAATATTTAATTTCTACGTATCAAGAAAAGTAACTATAGTATATAAAGTATATAAAAAGTATATAAAAACTATAGTTTAAAGTATATAAAAACTACAGTGTATAAAATAAGTATATAAAATTTGTACAATTTGACAATTAGACGTATCTTTCTCCTATCCTATCTTTTTATTTTCTATTTTTATTAGTTTGTTTATACTATGATTCATTTTATGTGAAAGAAAATGAGAGAGAATAAAAATACATTCCAAATCTTTATTTTATCTGAAATTGTATATTGTAACGAAAGTTTTATAACTATAACAACCTACTTCAAATTCACTGGGCTCATTTTTCTTAGAACGTTTACTAATTATTCTTTTCCTTTTTTATTATTCGAATATGGAATATTCAAAACAGCAAAGTGAAAAGCAAGTAAAAAGAATAATCGATGTTCGAAATTTTAAATGGCGATATCTCGAAGATGAAAATGAGTGACATACGACGTTTTTCCTTACAATTTAACAGATTTATTGTTTTGGATACACGTGTGTAAATAAGTGCCCAAATATTTTTACGATTCTGGATATGTATCAACATATGAATAAATTTAATTAAACAGAAAATTGAATAGACTCTGAAATCTGGTCTAAACAATATGATTTATCATTATATTATCCCTTTCATCACTATCAGGAGATATATGTCCCATTTATAAAATCGAGCTTTAGGTGACATAGCACATCGTCACTCTTCCAAAATCTGCATGTCCTACCTGTATACTTGTACACTACGCCATATTTGAGAAAAAAGAAAAATAAGTATAGTACAAGAAAACAATGTAGAAAATGCAATCCGTACAAAACGACGAGAAATATAAGCAAACATACTATGCAGCTATTGCAAAGTACTTTTGTGAATGAATTCGTGTTTTAACCCTTTGCACTCAGGAGGCACCCTTCAGTCGCCATTTGATCAAATTTCGAAGATCGATGTTAATTAACCAGTTAGCTGTGCTAATTAACGCCCTCTTTTGAGAGCGCGCATCTATATGTGTCGCGAAAATCGAGCGATGACGAGTATACTCGTCAATCACAGAGTAAGTGTCGCTGTTAAAATATTGGATCAAAAAGATGAGTTTATTTTATAAAATTGACAATTTTATTACTAATATTTACTTATTTGGTTAACATCTATTCTCTTATTGGTTAGTTTTTATGGATATCTATGAATTTCAGTGACCGTCAAAAAATAGCTAGGTACTTCGGGCTAGCAGCCATTGATGGGCTCAGCGCCTGGTCAGCGTCACGCATTTGTCCCATGGCGGACCATCCCTGAAGGAACCCTATCATAAATCAGCTTTCCGACTTTTGCTTTTGCCCCTTTTACGCTTACATCTAAAAAACGTTATCATCGCGCATAAATAAATTCGTTACGCGAACTGATAAGCTGTTTCAGCCGGTTGCATACGGGGACGCGTGAGTTCATCTCAAATTATTCATATTTTTTATTTGTTTGTTTTATTCCAGCCTGGCCTCAAAATATTCTAAACATCTTGAAATTTGAGAATATGTTTTATTTTTCACAAAAATTACAATTTAAATAGCCAATGGTCGCTACTTTTTACGCACGACGAGTATACTCGTCATGACACAAAATCCTGCCACTTCTCCATGACGAGTATACTCGTCAATTACAGCTAACTGGTTAAAATTAAGATAATGGAACGGTGTGCGAGGTATCGAAATCAAATATTCTACGTGTCAATTATACAATTTCTTATTTACTGCTCAGAGTAATAGAGTCAGTTATATAACATCTTTGAACTCTTTTAGCAAGAAAATCATTGAGTGCAAAGGATTAAAAATTTTCACGCGAAATAACTTTGTAAGGTGTATAAAATACCATCTGCACAAATAAAACAGTTCTGATAGAAACATCAACCACAAAAATTATTCACTGGAAAATCCAATTTTATATTTGTGGATAACCCTTAAGGTCTGACGGGACAAATATGTTCCAGTAAAATACAAAATGTAAGGAACAGATAAAAATGGATATACATTTATGATCTAGTACAGAAGTTATAACAAAAATATAAATAAAACATTTTTCAAAGAATTAATTTGTTCACGAAAGAGATAAATTTCTTAAATGACCGCAGGTTCATCCACAAAGTATTACATAATAGGAAAATAATTATATTGTACCTAAGAATATACTATTATTTTTTATATTTTGAACACAATATTCCTCTCTCATGGAATCATTTGTTTTGCAAATATTTTCAAATAATACGAAAAAGTGACAAAAATATTTGAGACTCGAGATAAGCTGATTTAATTTCAATGTGTAATTAAAATAAATGTATCGCCAAGTACTCACAGCATCTGGAATCTCGTAATATTGCAGACGATGCATGTATGTTGCTGTCGACTGCATGGGTAGTTGAGAAAAACCACACTGAGGTTCGATCCAAATTTCGGAAATAATTTGAAAATCGCCAGAACCCTCAACGTCCTCTACACTCACTTCGCCATCTGCAGTGCCTAAATATTTTTATTATATTTATTAAAGTATATGCATATATTTTTCATTTTTTTAAATAATCAGTTCATTTTATCGATTTAAAATTTATTACAATATTTTTCATATGGTTCTAACACGATTAATCGAACAATAAATTATTTATAAAATACTTGTAACTTCATTGCATGCTATTTTTAACACCTTAATACTTAGCCGACCGATCAGGGAGATCTCCCATTTTGACCTTAGCAACGCGTTCCTCGTTTTCGGTTATTACTTACACTACCTCCATTTGTAGTTGTTCGCAATTACTGACGAACTGCTTCTATAAAACACAACATATAATAAAATTCACTAATTTTTAAGGCCCCTTATTCGGGTTCCCCGAGCACGGTGGAAACCGTATAGTTCGCTCTGGAGCGTGCGGTCGGCTAAGTGTTAAGTGCCCAGCCCCTTTTGTTTGCCGTTCTGTTCAGGCCCAAACTAGGCCGTCAAGTGGGCCACCGGTGTCGGGCGAAGTGTTCATAAAATTCGGAGATACTGTACCAATTGTTATAACAGGAATTCCCAAATGTTAGGTCCAAAGATGGCGAAGAATTTAACACCAAAAGTTAGCACCTTTTGGTCCTAGTCTGGGCCAGTTCCTGAGAACCGGCCGGGCCCGAACGGAAAGTCTAGCGTCGGTCCCTGGGGACCGACGTGGCACTTATCGTGTTAAGGAAGTTATTCAATACACGAATGTAAATTTTTTAATATTCTTTCTTACATCAAAGGTTTTTTCGGTATATAATAATATTATAAATTCAATTCATAAGATATGAAGTGCTTTCCAGATATCATAGATACTTTAGAATCGATTTATAAAGCATAAATCGATAATGTAGAATAAAAGAAACATTTTTTCATATAATATACATACTGTTAAATAATACAAATTTACAAATTCAAGTCTTAAAACTTGTTGATAAAAATATTTGAATAACGTCTTGAATCATAAATTGCATTTAACCAGATATAAAGGCTACGTTACTTTGTATTGATATTAAAATTTTAATATATATATACACCCATAATATTTTTAGAAATATAATAGAAAGTCCGATTGCATTGTTCTCAATATTTGAAAAATAACTGAAAATTTATATTTTATTAAATGTTAAACTACATTGAACAACATTGAATGAAAATTGACAATTAGTACATTTTGAATATAACCGCTAATTAGAAGATACTTTGAAATAAAAAGTGTCCCATTGAACAATTAAAAATTTTTATTAGAACATCAAAAAAATATTAGAACAAGTCTTGCATCTAGCGGTGCACTCTCATGGCGATCTGAGGGAAACATGTGATTTCGGCATGGCAATCAAAGGGTTAACCGTTTGAGTGCCACGGGTCATTATTGTTTCCCAATCGATATTTGCCAAGCGGCGCGATAGCGCTTGTCATATTCCGTGTCCAAAAATGCCGAGCGGCGCGATAGCGCTTCTCATATTCCGCGTTCACCAACCGAGCGCGCTGATTGTCAGCTTCGCAGCTCAAAGTGCTAGCACCTTTGGACACAAAATAGAAGAAGCGCGATCGCGCCGGTTAAATAGCTATGTTTCTAACAAGTAAGTGACGTTTTAAAAATTGTTCTTACCTTCGTCGGTATCTTCTTCTGATGCACTATCACGTTCTAATGTTGTAGTGGACATAACATGTGGCGGAAAAAGGATGTACTGAATAATACACGGATATGATGTATTACTTTCTCCAACTCCACGCATCTGTACTTCAAGAACCATATTTACGATACCAGCCGCTGAATAAGTGAAATTGAAACCCTCAGCTAAACGCATTCTAATATAAACATATACAATATTATCCTAAATTACTTCTTTAATAATGCAACCATAAACAAACTAAATAATTAAGATTAAGTAAAACTTCTTTCTGACATAATTAAAATAAATTCATATGTTTTTCAATTTAAACAAGTTAAAACCCAAATTACAGAAATGGGTGCTTTAGACGTACTATGCGTGGCTGAAAAGAAGTCATCTGAGAAACTTGTAGGACCGAATCCCCACCAACCCAACCATTCTAACGTCATGGCAGAAGTAGAGTAAAGCGCTTCCCTTATTGGCAGAACTGATCCCTTCCTATTAGCCCGGTCACAGAACACCATGTGACAAAGAAAGCGAACGAAGCAACGAGATAAAGTGAGACAGACGCAACAAATAGTTGCAAGAGCGTAGACTCATCCCAAAAACATATTAACTTCAGATTCTTCTGATGAACACATGATTATTTGCAATTACTAATTACTAATTAGCATCTTGATTAACTTTTCATTGCATTATGCAGCAAACGTGATGTACTATAAACATATTTTTTATATTTATGTTGTATCGTATGATTTTTTTAAACAGTTATCTAGTATGATGCAATTACATAATTAATTTATCATATAAAATACATCTTAAATTTTAAATCAATTTTCATAAATGATGTTAATTATTATTACTTTTGTGCTCCTTTACTTTATAAATCTTTGAGCTATTGTTATCTGATTCCTTATCCGACTCACTGCTTTGTATTTCCAATCCTGGGTCTTCAATTGCGTCTTCTATTATTCGAGTGTAAGAATTTTACGGATATCTTACGCCTATGTTAACGTATCACGTTACCGAACTTGGAGGTAGTAGTTTTGGGAGTGTCATAGAAAAGTGGGTATTACTAGTGGAATACCCCTCTTGACCCGCAACCGAACGAAATGACTTCTTTTCAGCCACGCATAGTACATGTTACGGGTAAACTATAAGAGCGGCTAAACCCAGAGTTATCCGTGTAAACTTTAAATTTCTCATGATTTGTAGGTTAATCTCAAAATTTACTTTGGTAAATATGCAGTTTAGTGACTTTGCCCTAAACGTGTTTTTTTTTTTCGGTTTTTTCACAAAAGGCTTTATTTGTATTTCAATAAGAAATATAAATCGGAGGAGCTTGAAGAAGTAATGTGCTTTTACTAATTTTTTGACAAAAAATATAAAATTGTTAAAAACTGCAGAAGGCGTGAGTCGATCCCTATGATTTTTGAACATGTTATAGAGAACGAGATTCTGAACAACTTTTATCTAAACAATAATTGTCGCTTGGCCTTAATTTCCGAGATATTTGCAAAAATTGTTCACTTTATTTCCTTTTTCAAGCTTCTCTGATCTATATTCCTTATTGAGACACAAATAAAGCCTTTTGTGAGAAAACTGGAAAAAAAGACGGCATTCACGTTGATAAAAATTTAGAGAGTTCTTTACATTGGGTAAAAAAATATGTTGTAAATTTTACGAAATTTTATAGCAAAACTGTATATTTTTTTCGTAAACTGTTATATGTTAAATCTTAATACTGACAAGATGTTTAAGAAAATGAAAAAAAATTTCTCCATTCAATGGTATCGAACTCTCCAGTATACCGTGTAAGAAGTTCAACCATTGTTACAACGCCAAACAGCTATTTAGTGAACGGTATGAACACAAATCCATATAAAGAAATAACGAATTTTTTATTTCAAATATTTAAAATAATATTGAGTGTTTGCCCCTATAATAGTATATTTTCATAAACAGGGCAACGAAATCTACCAAAGTACAAAATTTGAACTAAATCGATGACAAAGGCTTTGTATATTCCTTGTGAAATTACGTCTACTATGTGTTGCAGACAAGAAGTCCACTGTTTCGGCAAAGGGACGGAGGGGGGGATTCAATTCGCTCCAATTAACATGCTCGCTCTTAGTCCCCTCTCTTTTATGACACTACCGAACCCCCACTACCTTCGAATTAGGTAACGTTATACGTTAACATAAGGTATCCGTAAAATTCCTATACTCGAATAATATTATAATATTATAATATATTACAATCCTGTGAATATGAGAGTAACACTGTACGAGTGAAACATAATTATTTTCATTTATACTTCATAAATATTGAACAAATATTTAACCCTTTGCACTCGACGATTTTTTGGCTAAAAATGTATACGAGTTGAAAAATTTTCTGCTATAAGGCTGATGATATTTTTCTAGCAGTAAGTAAGAAGTCGTACCTCGCAGACTGTTACATTATCTTAAATTTGATATATTAATTAATATCGAGATTCGAAATTTTATCAAATGGTGACTGGAGGGCGCCTCTCGAGTGCAAAGGATTAATATGTGTATGAAATATAAATATACTTAAATAAAATTCGGAAATGAACATTCATCGGAAAAATTTGAAGTTAATGCTTTAGGAATAAGTCTACGCTCTTGCATCTATTTCTTGCGTCTGTCTCACTTTATCTCGATTGTTTCGTCTGCTTTCTTTGTCACACAATACTGTATGATCAGGCTAATAGAAAAGGATCATTCTTGTTAATAAGGGAAGCGCATTTACTTTACTTCTGGGATGGCGTTAGAATGGATGGGTTGGTAACAGTTGGTGGAGATCGGTCCTACGTTTTGCTCAGCGGAATTCTTGTCCGTACCATAGATTGTAATATGGTAGATACGACATTGTCGAGTGTGGAGAAGCAACCAATGACTGCGTAGCGGTAAAACCTCGTATGCACATTACCGAGAAATATTATCTCGATCTAATCGAATTGAAAACGGTTTCGATAATTCTATTCCATAGTTTCTTCTTCAGAAAAGCGCACACAATACGATACTATATAACAAATTGGTGCCAGATAAAGAAATTTTTTTAAAAATGCCAAAATAGTGCGTAGAAAATATTCTCGGAGGTTTATTTTTAAACTTTGATGATCAATTACAATTATTTAGAAGCACAAATAATTATAATTATTGACATTAACAAATACGGGATATTTTCACCCAATTTTTAAGATGAGAATGAATCATCTAACGTTTTTACTTTTTGTACAATACTTCATTTTAGCCAAAAATCGTACCTTTTTAGGAAAACTCATATTTTTCGAAAACTGACGATGAAAGCAATTTCGATTATGAATTCGTTTTCGGGAAAGTAAACTCTATAAGAATTACTAAGTAGATATTATAGATTGAAATTCTTGTTGAAGAGTGTAATCTGTGGTAAACGAAAATTAAAGTCCAGTACCGATCATAGCAACTTTTTAGATTTAATTGATTAATTATATAAATGAAAAGACATTTAAATGTTAGAATAATGTTCGAACTTTATTTCCTCACACACCCCAAATAAAATATTGATATTTTTTTGATCTATGCGTTCAACTTGCAATGTCAGATATTTTTCTGTGAAAAATGTTAAAGAGCTATCCTCGAATTTATATCAAATCGTCGATTATATTTATAAATATATTTATAAATATAAAAAATGTATTCGACATTAATACGTACAGCACTAGGTCGGCACTGCACAATACACATGAAAACATTTTAGATCATAATATATTAATGTACACAAAACTTAAAAAATTAGGATTGTTTATTGTTCTTAATAAATTAGAGATACCTACAAGAAAGGAATAAAATCATTTACTTATGTCAAAAGCAAAATATGAACACTGAAAAAAGCTCAAAGATATAAACATATTTGTAAAATGCTTCATAAAATCGAAAACCACAGACAAATATACGACCTCGAACTATATAGCATACATCTAAAATATTGATTCATTTTTGCAATAAAAGTGATAATATCTAGTGAGGGAAGCAAAAACTAGCTTTGTTTGGTACTATAAGTTGATTGGTACTGCACGACTTCCCTCTATATGTACTTATATTATTTTCAACATATTCTTTTAATTATTACTACTATTTTATACTACTTTTAAATACATATTTAGGTGTATATTTAAATACACACATTAGATACACAAGTATATAGTTTCAATATTAATATTCTTTTGTATCATAGTTATTCACAATATATTAAATGATAATCAATATTTTTTATATACTTAAACATGGAAAAGATAACAATGAGAAATATTAATATAAGGTACTTACTTTGTAATTGTAGAAAGAATCCTTGCAATTGCAGTTATATTCAACCTTGGTAATACAATTCCAGGAATGGTTTGTACAAACGGTCGTTTCACGTACCAAAGCCATCGACTGTGATATAAGTATCTAGACAAACTAGTTGTCAAAGTTCCACCTAACATCGGTGTAACTTTACTCGATGTGGTTTGAGTTCCATCAGGAAATACAACTGAATTCAAGTCAGTTGGCATTCGCTCGTATCTGATTAATATCTTTTCCAAAGATTTATGAATGATAGTACAAGAAGGTGTTTCTTTCTGTTCTGTAGGTCTATTTGGTAAAGTAAGTTTAGATAATCGATCTAGAAGATCTACAACAACATTGTGTCGAACAACTCCTTCTGTGCCAGCTGCGAATGCAATATTAAGAATAACACAGAGAGCTTTGCAGTTGATACGAATCAATGAAAATGAAACTGGAGGTTTATCAGCTTCTCGATAAATAAACTGTACATATGTATGATTTTCAACAAGGACAAAGGTTGCCCAATTTTTTAACATGGCATAGAGGACGGCAGCTGCCTGGCGGCTTTGAACACATTGAAAACGACCACTTTGATTTGCTTGGTGTAAATGCCTTGGCAATGGTCTATCGTGTGATAAAATAAGTGTTACTCTTTGTGTATGCATCCAACGAGCCCATTGTAAAGGATTTAAAGACACTACAGGTTGCCAAATTTGTCCAAATTGTGGGCATGCAGCATCACTGAAAATAAATATATATATATCAAATTTTTAAATAAACTTAGCTTTTGTTTATTTAGGATGTATAAATATTCAATGCTATAAAACTTTATTACATATATCTATCCATTTCTTTACTCATAAGTGTGCTTTCCAATTTATTAATTCTCAAAAATTATTGTAATAAAAAATTACATTTTCAAGTATACCTAAGTTGCACTGTACTAGGTGAAGGATAAGCTGATAGATAAAAAACTGGCATGCCACTCCTAATAGTGTCTGGTACACTATACCAAGTCCAACCAAATTCAGGAAACCAACTGAAGTGTGCAAGCATACTGTCACTTTCTGTTAAAGATGTTAATGTTGCCCAAAATCGATTGACAACACCTTGTCTATATTGAGATTTCAATGGCTTTTTGGACAAACATGTAATATCATGTAAAAATTCATAAGGAGCTGCAACAAAATGTTTTCATTTTTTATAAATAATTAAACACACATTTACTCCTATTCTTATAAATATGTATATTTATCAATTTAAGCAAATATATATGAAATTTTTCAAAACTGTAAATGAGGAGAAATTATCGAGTAGAGATAACAAATTGTGAAAAGTATATTTTTAACCTAATAAATACTGATGTTATTTCATTCTTTCAGTAAAAAGTTAAAATAGATGTAGCTATTGAACATCTATTAACAAGTAATCAAAGTTTCAATCAAATTTTAACTATCAAAGTGAATATTTTTTTATCTGCTTACTAACATGAGTTTAATCTCATGACTCTAATTAATTATTAGAGTTTTAGTAATAATTAATATTATTGGTCACAATATTTCCTTAACGTCTGATTATATTATTCATATATTCAATTTTAATATATTTGACTCCTACATGAAATGCAAAATGAAATATACTGGAAACTAAAATTATAATATAGTTTAACAACTATTATTATATTATTATAAAATAAGAATTCTTAATTAGTTATCTACAAATTATTGGAATCAATACAATGACATTTCTTGCTATATTAACAAAAAAAATTATTAATATAACTATCTCTAAATAAATTATCAATAGAATTAATACAGATAGAACATTTTTGGAAAAATTTTCTGTCATTCCAGTCTTTTATACCTCTTTTGCTTAAAAGGTTATTACATCAAAAATAAATATTTAAAAGAGTAATAAATAGTAAAATTTTGTGTTTTCAATTATTAACAATTAATCATATAATGTTCAAATATTACATATTACTTACAATGATATATAGAAAATAGATGATGCAATACCATAACTACTTATATTTCTATATCATTCTTGTACCTTTACATACTCTATTCTAATACATCACACCATTATATGATGTATAAGTAAACAATCATTATTAATGAGTCATTAATAAAAAATTCTTTGTCTTTTACTTAGTTTTGTACAATATTTGAAAGCTTAAACCTAAGCCCTAAAATAATAATAATAATAAATTTTTGTTTTAATGTACCTTCTATAGTAATTGTATACTGTATTATATTAGATGCGGATAATGATTTTGTTAACCAAGGACACGATACTATGTATTCCAATAATACACTAGATTTCCATAACAGTACAAAGCAAATTTCAAGTACTTCATCCCTCACATTGGCACGTTTTATCAAATATCCTTCTCGAAGACGACAACATAATAGACTGCTTAATGTGCAGGTAACCTTATCCTCGACCTGCTTTTTTTGTAAAAGTTGCGTAGATTTTTGTTCGTAAAATAATAAATTCTTAGAATGCCAATTTGAATAATCTGGTACAACGTTACAACATACTTCACGATATAATTGCCAACATAAAAAATTTTTATGATAAATATTCATTTCTGTCTCGTTTAAATGAACCTGTAAAAATGAATTAATTTTTAAAGTATATACAGAATACTATCTCTTATTCGGCTCCACAAATTAACTAGATTTTTGCCATAAGAACCAGAAAAAGTAACCGACATATTCAATAAACATAATTAAATTACCATCAATATATGTATTTCTTACTAAAAAATTATGCAACTTTGTATCCACAAATAAATTTAACTGAAGAAAACAAATGAAAATTATTAATTTTATATCCAAATAAATATTCAATAAATATTATTTGTTTACGTACATACATTATTTGTCACATTTAAATTTTTGTTATGTAACTAATAAACATTATACATTTTTTTTATTTGATTAGCCTAGTTCCATAGGAGCCGATTAAGAGAAAGTTTATTACATGCTATTAAAGCTACTAATACTATTAGTACAATATCGTTAAATTAAATTATAACAAAAATTTCTTTCTTCCAAAAAGCGTAAATTTTGTATAAATTTTAGTAAATATATATTGTATATCGTGTGTTACTTAAGATATACACAGTGTGTAAAAATTATCTCGGTATAAATTCAAATAGTTCTATTACAAAATTGCTTTATTCTAAACAACTATTAATTAACTACATATAATGTTCAAACAAATATGGCGGAGAAATTTTATAAAAATTCTCTTCTTAAATACTGTTCGGTAACACTGAACTAAAATATCATACTAAATTTCAACTTACAAAGAAATAAATAGAATAAAATGTATCCTAATATTTTGCTACGTACTGTATTCGGAAAAACACATTTGTATTGTATTGGAAGAAATACAATTTTTAGAAAACACATCGCTCACTGTCGCTTCAAAAAGACAAATTCGAAGTGAAATACATATTAAGATTATTTTGTAAACTATTTTATATTTTGTCTTTCTTTGTATTTCAATTATTATGATTCATCACTAGTCCTAATTTAATAATTTAGAAAATTATTAATATTAACTATTTCAATAATTATTTCACTATCCAAAGGGAAGTGACAACTACTGGAAAGTACTTTAGACGAAGATTTCCATCGGATTTTTTTCTAATATTTATATCAAAATGCAAAGTATCTATAAAAAGCATCAAAATATATATGTAGGATTGGAAATGACTATGGCCTTGAAAAATGTCGGGAGTCTTTGAACTTAGAACGAAGGTGACCTTAGAACGCGCGAGAAGATCGAGTGGATGTGTATGTATAATGTTTAATTAATTATAATGCTTTTGTATTGTATAATGGTTTAAATAAGGGTGCAAGGGCGCAGGCGAGTCAGTGTGTTAATCAGTGTGTAAGCCAGTGTGTACTTAACACGTTGACTGTCACGCGCATTTTACGTGGATTGCCCATGGCGCCAACATGAATATTTTATTATGCGATGCATATTATGTTGAAATATTATTTACAACAGATAAGGTGAGTTGTATAATCGGGTTTAATGTATTTTTCGTGATAGGGGTCACCGGTGACCCCCGCGGCGGTGTAGACCATTTTTGCTATTATCAATTGTTTAAAAAGCCACTCGAAAAAATATTTCAATTCCCGATTTTAGGATGAAGTTAGCGATGTATTTAGTGAAATGTTTCGATGACGAAGATTGCATTTCATCGAGCAATTACGTACAAAAAAAACGTCGTCACGAATTTAAAAAGAAACCTGGAAGTGTGCGAAATGTAAGGCGATTTTGCAAAGTGTGCTATGAAAATAATTCAAATCAGCTAGGAAGAATGAGAGCAAAGAATTGCACTAAAAAAGTGGCGACATATTGTGCCGACTGTTTTGGTTCACCTTTTCTTTGTATAAATAAAATTATTTTTGCATGTTCTGTATGGCATTAATTTCTTCGAACCATTAAAGTAACAATGGTACTATTTAAAAATTTATCAGAATCGATATTTACTCTAATTATGTATTTTTACTAATGGTCAGGTCGCCGGTCACCGGTGACCCCCATGGCAGTCAACGTGTTAAACCAGTATGTAAGAAATCCAAGTCAGTCTAAGAAAGATCAGAAGAGCGTGCCCATAGCGAATCTCTCTTGTTTCATAGTAGTCAATCTATTTATAAGCTTATTTTATTCTATTAAAAAGCCAATAATACTATCTTAACCACTTGCGCTAGAAAGACGTGCCACGCACGTCGAGATGCTTTTGTTCCAAAATTGCCAGCGACGTGTACACCACGTCGATAGGCATTTATCACAGAAATAAAAATGACGTGAGCTGCACGTCGGCTAACAACCAGATCGTTCATTTCTCGAGCTACAGTTCCAGAATGCACGCGTTGCATTGTGTAATTTATATCTTGGAAATATTTCAAAATCGATACAGTATCTCGCGGCGCCAATGTGACACCTTACGGCGTGTTATACTGTAGTGCACGGCACCGCAACCGTGAGTTTATTGGTAGCGCAAGTGGTTAAGTCAATCCACACAAAATCCGATCCTGCATATATTGAAAGTGAATACAAGCATGTTGAAATTTCTTTATAACAAAAACATATTTATTGATAATAAGACTAGTATAATGAGTACTCGAGTATACAGTAAGGTAATGATATAAAATAACTAAACAGAAGTGTCTTGCTCTGACACTATGCTCCGTTTAACGAGAGAAGGTAGAAAATATAAACAAAACGTTCACGTGATCAGTACTATGACTGAATATGGCTGCCAAACATCGATGTTCAGGAACAAATAATGAAGAACACTTGCCGATGGCCTCTGCATGCGACTCCATTTTCTTTTCTTTTGCGCAGGTGTCAGAAAAAGATGTTCTAGACCTGTTCTGACCACGCGTCCTTCGTATGTAATTGTTTATACTTTCTGCCAGTTCTCATTGAACGAAGAATAGGAACCTTAGACAAGTGGCACATCTGGTAGTTGTCTTCTACCGTTACCCTCTAACGAAATAAAATTTCCTGGTTAAAAAATTGTGATTTTTATTCAATTAGTCCGAAAATTGTTTAGACACACTGTGTAGTTATATACAATATACACTACCAACCAAAAGTTTGGTATCGCTATAGATTTTATTGAACATAAAAATTAAAAATGAAGTCAACTAATAAGAATTTTGCTACCTTAGAAAATACTTCAATCAAAACACAGTCGAAGTGAAGAAAATTATTATCGTGCATAAAATTAATTTTACATTAATGTTAGAATTAGCCAGAGATAGAAGAACCTATATAGGTTCAGAAGGGAAAATGATTCTACATTTTCTGCCAGTACTATACGTATATCATATTAAATAATACTTATTATTAAATATCATATTTAATAATAAACGATAAAAATATCATATATCATCTCCAAGGTTTCCAATGAAAAGTAAATAAAATATTTGACATAATTATTTCTATGAATAAAAATATTTAATAATAATGCAATGTTTAATATGTTTGTATTTAAGTATACAAATAACGTGATAAAATATTACGTACGGAATATGGAATAAAAGACATATAAGTACCCAACGTAGCTCTTGAAATAAAATGTAATAAATCTTGATATGGGACTAAACCATCAGCACAGTGAGGATGATATGTGCTTCCAACATGTAGAAAACTGCATGCAATTGTTGTTGCACGTAACTGTTGTATAACAGAATCTAAGATATGAACATCGGTATTGCCTACTATACCATCCGACACGATTATCATATCTAAAAAGTTCAGTACCATTCTAATTAATTCATATTGTTTCTTACTTTAACCTTTTATTATTAGTATAATACAAGGTGACTTTTTTAAATGAATGTCACAAAATTTACAATTTTATATCATATTTTAAGACTAATAAAAAGGGCTTAATAAATAAAGATCTACAAATTATTTGTTTCAAATATTGTTGATTTAAGTCCCAAAATATCATTGGGCTGGCAAGAAAGTAATTTCGGTTTGCATCAGTAAATAATGTTATGCTTGTTTAGTTATTCTTTTGTCAATGTTAAAAATTTTTTCTTTTGAGATGTGGTAGTCGATACCTTTAGGTTGCTATTTCGTGAAATTCCGTGTAGTTTCGTTCATAACTGTCAGTTCACGGTCAGTCTTAACATGGAGTGCAAAAATAAGCATTTTCGACACATTTTACTTTTTTATTTTCATAAAGGCAAGAATGCGGCTGAGGCTCACAAAGAGATACGAGAAGTTTATGGTGTTGATTGTTTAACAGAACGCACGTGTCAGAATTAGTTTAAAAAATTTCGTTCTGAAGATTTTTCACTGAAAGATACCCACAACGTTCTGGTCGACCTTCTGAGATTTACGCACTTGGTTAAGTTTT